TTTTTTCTTTTTGCTTATGTGGTGCTGAAGAATTGAACCCAGGGCCTCAGGCATGCAAGGCAAGCGCTCTACCACTGAGCCACCTTCCCAGCCCTACCAAGTGTAATTTTTTATCTTTTGCTGTCCATCGTGTTTACTTGTAGATTTATAGGCACATTCTAGTTACTACAAGTGAGAGAAATCATGGGACCTATGTTTCTTTGGGTCTGGCTTACTTCACTTAATATATTTTTTCCCAAATCTTTCCATTTCTTTACAAATGGGGACACATTGTTCTTTATGATGGATGAGTAGAATTCCATTGTGTATATATGCTACATTTTCTTGATTCATTTGTCCACGGAGGGGCATCTGGATTGATTCCATATTTTGGCTATGGTAAACAATACTGCGCAATGAACATGGTGTGCTGGTAGCTTTAGTATGGCCTTGTTTGCGGTCTACTGGATAAATGCCCAGGAGTGGAATTGCTGGATCACAGGGGAGCTTTATGAGAAACTTCCATACTGCTTTCCAGAGTGGTTGATCAAGTTTACATTCCAACCAACAGTGTAGCAGGGTTCTGTTTTTGGTCACATCCCCATCATCATCTGTTACTGTTAGTTTTCTTGATAATGGCATTCTAACTGGGATGAAGTGGAATCTCCATGTTGTTTTGATTTGCATTTCTTCTATGGCCAGAGATGTGTCTATTGGCCATTCTTATTTCTTCTTCTGAGAAGTCTCTCTTTACATTTTTAGCCCATTTATGAACTGGGTTACTCTCTCTCTTTCTTTCTTTCTTTCCTTCTTTCTTTCTTTTCTTTTCTTTCTTTCTTTCTTTCTTTCATTTCCTGTCAGTCTTGGGGCTTGAACTCTGAGCTTGGGTACTGTCCCAGCTCTTCAGCTCTTCAGCTCATGGTGACACTTCTGGTTTTCTGATGGTTAACTGGAGCTGAGAGTCACATGGACTTTCCTGCCTGGCCTGGCTTTGAACCATGATCCTCAGATCTCAGCCTCCTGAGTAGCTAGGATTCTAGGCGTGAGGCACTGGTGCCTGGCTGGGTTACTATTTCTTTAAGGATTTGTTTTTTGGGAGGTTTAATTTTTTGAGAACATTTTAGGTATAAGGCCCTTGTCTGATGCATAGCCAGCAAAAATTTCTCATTTTGGGTGCTAGTTATCTTACTAGCCATGTTCTTTGCCATGTAGAAACTCTTCAGTTTGATACAATAACATTTACTCAGTCTTTCTTTGATAAATTTTGATTCTTAGGAAGTTTCAGTCCAAGCCTAGGAGTCTTAGTGTTTCCCCTATCCCTTCCTATAATATTTCCATAGAGTTTGGCCTTACCTTGAGGTCTGATGCATTTGGAATTGATTCTGGTGCAGAGTGATATATAGGATCTAGATTCAGTTTTCTGTATGTGTATAGTCAATTCTGCCAGCACCATTGTTGAAATGGCTGTCTTTCTTCTATCCTGTGTTTTTGGCTCCCTTATCAAATATTAGGTGCCTATAGGTCTGCAGGTTCATTTCTGGGTCTTCTATTACACTGGTCCTCAGGCTTATTCTTGTGCCAGTACCAAGCTGTTTTTTTTTAAATTACTATAGCTTTGTAATAGAGTTTGAAGTTTGGTATTAACATTCCTCTAGTACTGTTCTTTCTGCTAAGCATTGTTTTTGCTAGTTGGGGTCTTCTATTATTCCATATGAATTTTTGGATTGTTTCCTCTACATCATTGAAGAATGTTGTTGGGATTTTGATGGGCATCACATTGAATTTGTAAATAGCTTTAGGCAGTATTGTCATTTTCTTTTTCTTTTTTGGGGGGGGAGGGGGGTCCGGTCATGGGCCTGAACTCTAGGCCTGGGCGCTGTCCCTCAGCTCTTCAGCTCAAGGCAAGTGCTCTACCACTGAGCCACCTTCACAGCCCCAGCATTTGTCATTTTCATGATGTTAATCCTTCTAATGCAGGAGCATGGAAGATTTTTCCACTTCCTTAAATCTACTTTAGTTTCTTTTTACAGATTTTCAAAGTTTTTTTTTGTTGTTCTTAATCATAGAGGTCCTTTACATCCTTTGTTAATTCCTAGGTATTTTTTTAAGGCTACTACAAATGGAGTTGCTTTCTTGATTTCAGTCAGTCTTGTCATTGTTGGCATACAGAAAAGCTATTGATTTTTGTGGGTTAATTTTATACCCTGCTACTTTGCCAAAGTTTAGGATCAGCTCAAGTAAGTTGGGAGAGGAATCTATAGGGTTCCTTAAATACGGGATCATGTCATCTGCAAAGAAGGAGAGTTTTACTTCCTCTTTTCCTATTTGCATTTGGAATGTTTTCCTTTTTTGTTGTTGTTGTTGGTCATGGGGCTTGAACTCTGGGCCTGAGTGCTGTCCCTCAGCTCTTAAGCTCAAGACTAGCACTCTACCACTTGAGCCATAGCTCCACTTCTGGCTTTTTCTGCTTATGTGGTGCTGAGGAATCAAACCCAGGCCCTCATGCATGCAAGGCAAACACTCTACCACTGAGCTGTCTTCCAGCCCTGGAATTTTTTTTGTTTTTTAACAAACAATTTTTATAACTGGGACAGCCTTGTATTTGCTTGATGGGTATCATGTCATCGTGGGTACAATATGTTCCAGTGAGAAAAGAAAAACTGTCATGAAAGTGAAAACTTACTGCTTCTTGATTTTAGAACTTTTCAAATATCAATCCAGAAATAAAAATACTCTCTGAGTCAATGGGTGTGGAAGAGCTCCTTCACAGAGCAAGAAAGTGGTAATTTAGCTGGGTACCAGTGGGTCACACCTGTAATTCTAGCTACTCAGGAGGCTGAGATCTGAGGATTACAGTTCAAAGCCAGCCCAGGCAGAAAAGTCCATGAGATTCTTTTATCCAATTAACCACCAGAAAACCAGAAGTGGCGCTGTGGCTCAAGTGGTAGAACACTCGCCTGGAGCTGAGGGACAGTTCCCAGGCCCACAGTTCAAGCCTCACAATCGACCAATACAAAAAAAAAAGAAATTGGTAATTAATCAATAATAGACATGGAAATGCACTTGTTATAATGGAAACATATGTAGGAGAGAATAGGTCCAATCCCATTCATGTAGTGTGGTACATTTTTTCCTTTAATTAAGGCACATGAGAACCCAAGGCCTCCCACTCACACTAGGGGCCACATCTTCTCTGGGTACAAGACAGGTGGGTGTATTTCTTTCCAGTTTTTCAATAGCCTGGGGCTATGGTTGAGCTAAGGACAGTGTATTTGTGTTCATCCCAAATCAACACATGTCCTTACAACTGGACATGCGAGCTCTACCTGAGCACAGAGAGAAGAAAACAGCAATTGACACTCTGCCCTGGACACTGGGCATCTATTGTCAGGACAAAGGGCCTATGAGAGGAGGGAAATAAGAGGAAACATGGATGATAGCAGCCTTTGTTCCACACAGGAAGATCCTGTATCCCTGCCCACTAGTACACACTATACCATACACAGCTCTCTTTATCACCGTTTTTGTGTGTGTGCCCATACTAGGACTTGAATTCTGGGCTTGGGTGTTGTCCCTTAGGGTTTGCTCAGAGCTGGATGTCTACACTTCAGTGACAGTTTCACCTTTTCACTTTCTGGTTAATTGAAGATAAGTCTCCTGGACTTTCCTGCCTGGCCTGGCTCTAAACAGTGATCCTCAGATCTAAGTATATAGGATTACAAATGTGAACCACTGGCACTCAGCGTGTATACACACACACACACACACACACACACACACACACAGTGTATGTGTGTATAGGCATGCGTGTGCACACGTGTGCCAGTCCTGGAGCTTGAATTCTGAAACTGGGTGCTATCCCTGAGCTTTTTCACTTAAGGTTAGCACTCTACCACTTGTATCATACTCTATTTCTGGCTTTTGGTGGTTAATTAGAATTAATAGTGTCATGGACATTCCTGACCAAGCTGGCTTGAACTGCATTGTTCAGATCTCAGCCTCTTAAGTAGCTA